AATATGGTTCTAAAGAGTACTTCATAAAAATAGCGGAGATAACATCTTCTATTCATTTTGAGATTTACTCTTCCATATTCTACGGACAGTTTATAAAAGATATTTTATCATTAAATCAAGTAAAAAATACAAATGATACAAACACAGTAAGTGAGCTCAAGTCTGAGCAAGTTCCAAAACCGAACATAAATAATAATTTATTAGATAAAAAAACAAACGTTAAAAAAAAAGTATTTAGGCCTATTTCTCTGTATTTGCTATCTAGACAAAATGAATCAACATTTGAAAATGAAAGCAAACTAAAAAAAAAATCTTCTAGTATAAGTTCATCATCATCAAAAAAAAGATCTTCAATGCAATTATTTTCTTCTGACGATGTTTTTAAAATTTCAGACAACGAAGATGAAATTTTATACGGTGAAATCGAAAGAATAGAGAGAGCAAGCAGAAGAAAAAGCAGTAGTATCAATTTAAATAATGAATCATTAAATTTATTAAAGGAAAAAAAGGAAAAAGCAATTGACTCAAATGGTTTAATTCAAAACTCTAAAGTATATTCAGAAAAAGAAGAAAAAGCCAGTGAGAATGCTCTTTACGGGTATGATACATTTTATCCGTCTTTAAATATAAAAGACAAAAGCATATCAAAACGTAATGCATTTTGCGAAAAAGAAAGTACGTGTTTTGACGGTGATGCAACGCGACCAGTCTTACCGGTACCGGTATTATGCCAAATGAATACTTTTGATACTCATTCATATGAAAATATCAGCAAAATAACAAACTTTTATCAAAACAGTACTGATGACAGTATATACTCAAGAATCAACTCACTAGGTCGTAAACACTGTGAAACTATATCAAACTATGGTACTCATTCATACAAAAATATCAGCAAAATCATAGACTTTCATCAAAGCAGTTTTGATGATAGTATATACTCAAGAATCAATTCACTTAATTGTAAAAACTGTGAAACCTTTAACAGTGATGTCATAAAAAAATATCCCGAACTTAACGAAAAGAAATTCTTAAAACAGATAGTTGAGAAAAAAAAAAATTTAAATAAAACCCTTTCAAAAAGTGACACATGCATTTCTCAATATGTAGACAGAGAAGAAAATATATATGCATCTTTAAGTTTTTCAAGATCAAATAATAACCTTAGCACTGGCTACATTAACGTTACTCATAAGAAAAAAAATATATTAAAAAAAATGCTTTCAAAAAGTGATTCGTGTTTTCCTCAAAGTGTAGAGAACGATGGAAAATTTTATGCTTTTGAACTCAATAGTTCAAGATCAACTAATGACCTTAGCTCTGGCTTTATGAATTCAGCTTACAGTGTTGTAAAGCCAAAGATGATTAGCAACGAATCACAGAGGGAGATAAAAAGTTTAGCGGAAATCTTTACATGCTCAATTGAAGATGTAGAAAATAGGTTGCATGGATTAAAACTTGGTAAGTTTGGCAAAAAATTTAAGCGACACTTGATTAATGGCAGAATCCTAGGAAATTTGTCTGAAAAAGCGTTACGTGAAATGGGTTTATCGCACTTTGAAGCTCGTAAGTTATACAAATACGTTCACGGGTGGAGAGTTAACACTATAAATTATACCAATAGCTTGGAAAATTCTCGAGTAACTGATTGGTCAGTAAATGATGTTAAAAAAATCATGAAAAAAATAAAATTGAATCGCTTAGGAGTCTTTGCTGCAGAAAACTTAATTGATGGTGTTTTACTTGAAGATCTTATTAAACATAATTTTATTAAAACATTAGATAGCGATCATGGAATACGATTAACATTGGTAGAATTTGAAAGATTGCAGAGTTATGTCTATAAGGAACTCATGTCCCTTCCGCATAAAATTGCAAAAGAAAATTAAACGGGCAAAAAATGTTTTAAATTTCAGAGTGTTTTAGGATGTTTGGCTTTTCGATAATTTCGTGTTATATCTAATCTTAAGAATCAATTTATATAGCAAAAGTTTGTATTACTTGAAGTTATACTTCTTTGATTCATAATTAAAATGTATAAATGAACTGTAACTTTTGTTCACAATTAGTTAAAATCTTTTAACAAAGTAATAAAAAACCCGTAGATCCAAGTTACTATATATAAAATAATATTAAAGAAAGATTTATTTAATAATTTTTTTTTGTCTAAAAGCGCCATGCGTCATGATATAAGCGACCTTATGTTTTAAAAAAAAAAAAACCCGCTGTGAAAATAAAAAAATTAGCGTGGACTTTTTTTTATTTTCACAGACTTTTAAATTTCATATCATCAGTTGAATTCTATATTCTATCTTGCTCATTCTTCAAAGTAATATTGTTTAATATCCTTGAGGAAACTGATTCACTATATTCAATATTCTTCATTAAACAGTTTTAAATATCATAGGCAGGTCTATTAGGTAAAAACACACTCTATTTGGTAAACGCATTTGTTTTTGAAGTATATTATTTTTTTAAGAAATGCCCATCCGGTACATTTAGTATTTTAAACAGCCAGAGCATTATCATATAATACGTAACGCCGTTGACACCAGAAAAAGACGGAACTAATTTTAATTTTTAAATGTCAAAAATACATATAATCTTACCCTGTGTAAATGTAACATATATAACGGTATTGAGTATAAATATATAATAGAAAAGTGAAGATTATATATAAAAATTTATAAAAAAAAAGTAAAATATAAAAATTAAAAATTAATAAAAAACAGTAAAACATAAAAACTAAAAATTAATAAAAACAGTAAAATATAAAAATTATAATAATTTAGGATTTTACTGCTTAATTGAGTTAATTTGCAGTTGAAGCCAATTCTTTGTTTATTAGTAAATATGATATGTCCTTTTCTCGAGGCTGATAATAGTGGGCATCAAGTGTTCATGATTTATCACAAGATTTTGAATAATTCGAATATAATATAAAAACTTAGTTAAAATAAAAAAAGATACATAAATTGTATATAAATGTTAAAAAATAATAGTTAAAATTTATTTAAAAGTTTAGGTTTGAAAAAAATATCATTTACCAATATTAAGTTGTAGTAAAAAATATCATATACAAATATTAAGGTTGTAACATAAATCCTATAAGATAATGTATAGTATTAAAATTGTTATTGAAAAAGTTAACAGAGCGGGCACAGACGTCAATCAGACGTCTTACGGACGACTTAACTAGGTCACGACGTCTCACACCAAATTAGGACGTCCTAAGCAAAGACGTCCCTTAAAGACGTCTTTGCTAGGACGTCCTAGTGACGTTAATATAATGACGTTATCAGGACATCCATATTTAGACATCCTACATATTTAGACCTACTTTAGACATCCTAATTACCTTAGAAATAAGTAGAAAAATTGATACTATTAACTTGGCACATAAAATATTACGGTTAATTAAAAATATCCCCAGTGGGCACAAGAATGTTTTGCGAACGTTTTTTAATGGTCCCGTAAAAACGTTTTTCAATGATTTTTTAAACGTCCATATGAAGCGAACACGGAAGTTTTTCTGAAAACGTTATTTATTGGTTTTTATTACGTCTAAATTAAACGTTTTGTTGTTTTTAACATTTTTCCAACAATCTTTTTTTAAGATCTTTATTTAAGTAAATAACTTATGTTGTATAGAAAAAAAATCTTTTCACAAATGAAAACTTAGGTTTAACAGTCTAGATCCGGATAAATAACTAAAAGTTTTAACATTTTGTGTTTATTTACAATTTAAGTATACAAAAACATGGAGTGTATCATACAAAAACAGTGGAGTTGTAGTCGGAGTTGCGGAAGTACCACATTTTTTAGCGGAGTCGGAGATGGAGTCAAAGTTGCTTAACAAAATCGCGACTCCAACTCCAATAGTAAAACTTCTCGGTAATGTATGTGCATGTACAAAACATGCAATTAATTTTATATTCATACTAAACCTCAAAGAACGTTTCATAAATTTGTCGAAAAATATTTTTTTATCTTATTGCGTAATATTTTAAGAATTTTTCAAAAATTTTGCTTTGGAGTTGTAGTCGGAGTTAGAGTTGTACTCAAAATATTTTAACAACTGGAGTCGGAGTCGTTACTTTTTTTTACAACTCCACACCCCTGGCTATTCTATTAAGCTATGTACAATGGAAAAAAAATTGTGTAGAAATGCTACAAAAATTGTGTAGTTTTGTACACATTAATTATACCCGTTAAAATGGCGAGAACACAAATTTGTGTTATGAGGTACACAATAAATGTGTAGTTATATATTTCTACACAAAATTGTGTGAAAAGTATACACATTGATTGTGTAGCTTACACACATTTTTGTGTATACAATCTATACATTATAGTGTGTACTTTAGTTCAAAAAATGTGTAGTTTTCACACATTATTTGTGTGCATAGTAGCACATTTTTTGTGTTATTTATTACACATTTTTGTGTTAATTATTACACATTTTTGGTGTTTTTCTTCTACTCTGTATTATAACTACATAATAAATGTATTCCCAGCGGGCACGGCAACGTCCATATGACGTCGAAAGGACGTCTTTTTAGGACATCCGGAACTGGTTCTAAATGGCAGCGCCAGATGACGTCTTTTTAGGACGGAATAAAGACGTGTTTTTAGACGTCTAAAATACGTGAATTTAGGACGTTCAGAACTAGAAACGCCAAATGACGTCTTTAAATAACCTAATTTAGACGTTCTCATTTCGACGTCTAAAATACGTGTTTTTACATGGCTTTACTTAAACGTGAGGTTCAAATTTATGTTTTCACAGAACTTCTTGAGAATAAGAAAAAAATAATAAATCGTTTAAATTTTTTTAATAATATAATTGTGCTGAATTTTATAAATTACAATTTTGTAAACTTCTTTTTCCACTTGTTAATTTCCAAGAACCGAATGTTCGAACAGTTGACGTCATTCACCTTCTTTTCGATCAGATGCACTCTTTAAAATATTGCCACCAGCATTTTAAAGTTTTTTTGTTGTTGTAGGAATCAGGAAAGTAGTCTTAACCCTAAAAAAATATTGTCAAGATAAGTATGTAAAAATAAAGGGGAAATAAACAACACACACACGCACGCACACATATATATAATGATTAATTTATAAACATAACATCAAACATCAAAAAATACGAATTTCTCAACACTTAATTGATTACTTTAAAGAAATTTTTGACTGGATTGTTGTGACCAGCTTATATATTTATGTATATCAAGTATTTAATACAATTGTGGTATTAAAAATGCTCTTTTTATAGTAAAATTATACTTACTTTGAAAGCATGCCCTTCTTAAATGCACTGCATTATGAGCCACCAACATTTAATAACTTCTATTTCTAAATTCAAAAGATAACACTAGTGTAATTGATATGGGACAATTTAGTGTAAGTTTTATTGGGCATAGAAGCAATACATTAGTGTTTTAATCAATTCACAAATTTTGTGTAAATTATGTTTATTTGTAAAGTGAGCATTATGTATATAATTACAGATCAAAAGTTTTTATGTAATTTATGATAGTAATTTACCCTTAAAAAGAAAACTAAACATTTAACCATAATAAAAAATTAACTATTTTTTGCAACATTTGTATCGAGAAATGATTAATCACCTTCAAGAAACTTGGCAATAGAATCGCACTAGTAAAGATCAAAACTATTCTCAACTTTAAACCTTTTTTATATTTCATTATTTTTAAGATAAGTAAGTAAATGAATGAAAGACTATATATTAGTTAATTAAAAAACAATATGCTTTTAGAGTTTTGAAGTTACTGGAAGAGAAAAGATAGAATTCGTAGAACAAGATAATGATTGACAGATGACTTAAAAGATTGCAAATTAAATAAATCAGGGAAGCAAGATGAAGGAAGCGAATTCCAAAGAACTAATATTCAAAGAAAAAACTAGAGGAATAAGAATTTTTGGAGCACTTAGGAACAGTCACAGAAAAAGGATGAGACTTAATTGAATTGAGTGACACGAGAATGAATTTTAGTAGATGGAACAAGGGACGCTAGCTCTTTAGAGTAGTGCCCATTATAGTATTTGTAGAAAAGAGAAAGAGAAGCAACATCATGACGATGTGACAGTGGTTGGAGATTGGCTGCAAGAGCAGATCCAACTATGTTTACAATGCGTTTTTGCACCTTATCTAAAAAAGAAAGGGCATCATTAGAAGATCCGCCCCAGATATGGCAACAGTATACCATACAGGGACGGATTTGAGATTTATAGAGATAGAGAAGAGAATCTGGAGTAAGGAAGTGTTGAGCTCGATAAAGAGATGCAGCCTTAGCAGATGCTAAATTTGCAATGGATTTGATATACCATTTAAAAGAAAAATTAAAAGTAAAAGTTAATCCTAGAAGATGAAGGGTAGATGACTCATCTTGTACATTATCATTCATAAATATAGGAAGATCTAAACTATTGTGATAACGATTGGCCAGAAAAAATTGAGTTTTATCTGAAATAAAGTTCACCAGCCATTGTGAGCCCCATGCTGTAGCAGAGGCGAGATCCTTTTCAAGCTCAGATACCCCCTCCAAGCAATCAGAGAGTGTAGGCTTCTTATCATGACAAGAATAAATAGTAGTGTCGTCAACGAACAATGCCACCTTAGATGTGAGAATATCTGGAAGATCATTAATGTATATTAAAAAGAGTATAGGGCCAAGGATTAAACCTTGAGGAACCCCTGAAGTTACAGGATATGAAGAAAAGTGTTGAAGTTACAGGATATGAAGAAGAGTGTTGAAGTTACAGGATATGAAGAAGAGTGTATATATATATATATATATATATATATATATATATATATATATATATATATATATATATATATATATATATATATATATATATATATATATATATATATATATATATATAACTAACTTAAAATTTTACTAACTACATCTTTCGAAAGGGAATTCTTAAATGTTCTTTTTTTCTTGCTGAATTGACTAGGTACCTATTTTGAGTATTGCGGAGTATTTAAAAATTAATTTATAAAGAAAGAAGGTCTCGATAGTTAAAATAACTTCCAAGATAGTAATTACAAGAAAAAATATTACTTACATTAATCTTTGTAAAACTTTAAAATTTATCATTGACTTCATATATTTTCTTTAACTTTTTTTTGGGAAAAGCAAAATTTTGAATCACAGACTTTCAAATTTTGGAGGAGCTGAATGAATTAAAAAAGTTGTTACTAATAAAAATTCATTAGGCATATTACATAAAATAAACTATATTACATTACCATTACATAAAATGAACTATAGCCAAAACCATTGTTTTAATTTTTAAAAACGAAGGCAAAAATAAAAATGAACTTTAGGGTTAAATACATTTATTCAAATAAAATTTCTTTGATTTAAAACAAAATTAAATACAAAAACTACAAACACATCAATTCTAGATTCCTAAATGCATATTTAAATAAATGCAATATGAGTTTTTGAAATACAAAACAAAAATGTAACATAATATTACCAAATACAAACATGTATTTGACCAAAACATATATATCAACAGACACTTGATGTAGTTGACGCTCCTAAAAATAAAATCTTAATCAACAAGTAAATAAAATTTATGGTAAAGTAAAAAATATTCTTACAAGTGTTATTTTCTTAGCATTAGCAAACTTTTTTTTTTTTTTTTAACTTTTCTGTTTAACTTTAAATTGTATCTAATTGATGTTTGACACTATCTATTTCTAAATTTTAACAAATACTACAAATTCTACTAATTTTAACTAATAAAAAATAATAACTAATAATTCTAAATTTTAACAAATTCTACTAATTCTAAATTTTAACAAAACTCATTTTCATTTTGTTTATGGACATCTATTTTGTATTTTTAGCAAAAACAAAATCAGGGTTTACATTATTAAAAAAGACGCCTAAAGTATGGATTTTAAGAAGACATTTTTCTAGTACTTAAAGATATTTGGTCACGAAAGACAATTTTTTGAAAGAAAAAATAGACAAAATTAAGGAGAAAATAACTACATTGAAAACAGAATCTTATTTTTTTTTTAATAAATTTTAAATAAAAACAGAAAAATTATTATAAATTAACATATTACTTTTATATATATATATATATATATATATATATATATATATATATATATATATATATATATATATATATATATATATATATATATATATATATATATATAGTGGCGGGATAGCTCAGATGGTTAGAGCGTCAAAGGAAAAGTTAAAAACCCGGACTGTTGAACAATACGGGTTCAAATCCTGCCACCGCCAACTCAGTGCTTGAGTAGTACTTCGGTACGCAAAAATGTTGGTCAATAACGGACGCTACTTTGGATTAGTCTTAATGACTATTTGTGGCTGTTCCTATGCTAAGCCAACAATATCTTCGGATATAAAAACATTGTATAGAAAAATATAGCATGAAAACTCAAATAAATGAGAAAAAAAAATAAAAAAATAAAAAATATATATATATATATATATATATATATATATATATATATATATATATAATATATATATATATACACAACCCTCGGAATTAGGGTTGGCATGCAGCAATGCTAACCTGAAAGTGAGGTCGACAAACAATGCTGACCTTGTTTCTATGTTTAATTGTGAATCAATTTTTTTTGCTTTTTTGATGTCGACAAATTATTGCCTTTTATTCTAATTCCAAGGGTAGTATATATATATATATATATATATATATATATATATATATATATATATATATATATATATATATATATATATATATATATATATATATATATATATATATATATATATATATATATATATATATATATATATATATATATATATACATATATATATATATATATATTATTTTAAAACATCAAAAATACGATTTCTCTCAACACTTATAATTTTTTTATTATTATAGAAATTTTCGCTGGATTTTAGATACCAGCTTCTTCAGCTTGTTAAATGTTACAGTAATTAATAAAATTTATTAATTATTTTATTAATTACTGTAACATTTAACAAGCTGAAGAAGCTGGTATCTAAAATCCAGCGAAAATTTCTATAATAATAAAAAAATTATAAGTGTTGAGAGAAATCGTATTTTTGATGTTTTAAAATAATATATAAATATACTCTCACACAAGATGTTATCCTTTAAATCATATATATATATATTTATAAATATATGTATATACGCAGGGCTTAATTCAACAGTCGGACATCGAACATTGTCTGGCTAAAACCTCAGATTGTCCGATCAATTTACAAAGTCATCGGACATTTTGTCCAACAAGATTTTTAATTCTTTAAAATAAAATTTTATTCGTTGATTTGAAATTGAAAAATTTAAACTTAATGTAAACTATCAGACAAACTTATAAAATATGTTGATAATGGAGGCATTCATTCCCAAAAAAAGCACTGTTATTAATTGTAGTTTTAATGACTGTTCTTTAACAGTTTTATTGTTATATTGTTAAATTTAAAATTATTGCTAATTTAAAACGATCTCAAAAGTCAAAGTATGTTTGATTGATTACTGCAAACGCCGTGGACACTGAAAAGCAAAGAAAAGTTAGAAGTTTGAAAAATTTGATAATAAAAGATTTTACAAATGTGTTTTTTTAGAGGCTGAGATCTCATCGATGGATTATTTTTAAAAAAACATTAAGAAAATATACATTTAAATATTAACGTTATAATCATCCAAATCATTCTACTTTAGCTTGAGAGGTTTCTCGGTGGCACCCTGGTCCTACCCGAGTTTTCCAATTCTTTATTTATTGTTCATTTTTTAAACTATATTTTTATTTGTATTTTTTTTCTTATAATTTATTTTATATATATATATATATATATATATATATATATATATATATACATATATATATATATATATATGTATATATATATATATATATTATATATATATATATATATATATATATATATATATATATATATATATATATATATATATATATATATATATATATATGTATATATATTTATATATATATATATATATATATATATATATTTATATATATATATATATATATATATATATATAAAAGATTAAAAAGTTCTAGCTTTATAAAACTTGTCTGCCAAAGAAGGAGTGCCTTTTTGAAAAGTAGATAAATAATAACCTGTAGAACTCATAAAATTTTCTTTGTTAAATTGATCGAATTTTAGTGACATGCAGCGCGTGGAATTTTTAAATTAAATAATAGCCTGTAAATATTATATTGCGTTTGATTTAACCACCTTTAAATAAGTAAAAGGGAAGTTTAAATTTTTTATATCAAGTTTTAAAATAATATGTTTATCTTAATATTTAATATATTAAAGACATTATTATACTATATTACTATAACAAACTTGTTTTCTTGCCATTTTTATTATTGATAAAAATAGTTACATGAACGCCATATAAATACCTTTTTGGCGCTAAAAGTGGAGCTTATGCGCAAAATTGACACTTAGCATATTATATTTTTTTAAGTAAAAAAATTTACATAACTTTTATAAACCGGTAATGCAATTCAATGTAAACTAAAAAGGTTTTCGAGAGAAAAAAACTCAATAAAACTTCAAGTCTATATAAAAAAATGCGCAGTATTGAATTTAAACTATTTTAAAATTTTAAAGATCTACAATGATAAAAATTCTGAATATTAAAAAAAAAAACTACAACTTCACTAGCCTAAAATAAAATAAACTGGGAAAACATAACATATATTTCGATTGGATAATTGGGTTCCGTAAAACTCAGATACGCCAGAAGCTAGTCTAAAAAAACCTATCTACAGTACTTTTTTACTCTCGGCATTTAAAGAACTATCTTTTTCCTGTGTTCCTTTTAACTAAACAAATATGAATATATGTAAATATTGGTGAAAATTATTTGTTTAAATCTTATTTCAAAAATTTGATCAAACAATGTCCGACCAAAATAACTTTTGGTCAGTTATATAAGACAGGTGGGTAGAAGATTTCCTTAAGAGTAAAGGAAATTTTCTACCCTCCTGTCTCTCATATAACTTTTACGACTGGTTTAATTTTTTCAATTAGACTTATTTTTCAGTGAAAACTTTTGAACTTTACTAATAACTAATTTCTAAAGTTAAGTAATTAGTAACTAATTAATTTATATTTTTTAGTAACTAATTAATTAGTAACTAACTAATTAACTAATAAAAAGTAACTATATCAAGAACCAAGTTGAACTTGGTTCAACCAAGTTCAACTTGGTTCTTGATATAGCAATACTATACTAATAGTATATCAAGTATATATATATATACTATATGCTATAGTATTATATATTCCGTTTTAAACCGTTTCTTCCATTATCTGTAAAAATTTCATTACCTGTATCAACATTACCACAATTTTTAAGTAATTGATAACAAAAATATGTTAGCGAAAGATACTATGCGAAAGATACTATGACTCAAAAAGAGCGAAAGATACTATGACTCAAAATGAGGTTTTGATTTTTTTAAAAAACGAAGACCAGATATATTACTGATTTGAGGAGAAATGTAGGAGAGTGCTGCTACATCGATTGATCTATACCTGTCCTAACCCAAACCCTTAGCCGATGTAGCAGCATTCCCTTGCATATTATCCCTAAATTAGTCAATGTAGAAGCACTCTCCTACATTTCTCCCCAATTCAGTAATATATCTGGTCTTCGTTTTTAAAAAAATCAAAACCTCATTTTGAGTCATAGTATCTTTCGCTTACCCTTTAATAATTAAAAAAATTATAAAAATGCGTTACTTAAAAATTTTAGGAAGTTTTAGCGCTTGCGTGATTAAACTGTTTTTTTTTTGATTTAGTAAAGCATTCTGGATATTTTTTGGACGAAAAAATTATTGGACGCGAAAAAGACGTTCAAAAGACGTTTAAGACGGACGGACGCGATTTGAACGTCCAAAGGACGTCTTTTTTACGTCCCGTGCCCACTGGGTTTGAAGTAAATGCGCAATTAACTGGTTTACATGTATAATTGAATACAAAGCAAACGTCATTTTGCAATACAAAACAGAATTTTTTGCTCTTGAGTGCTGTAGTCAAAACAATATCTGCAAAATATCTGCTTCCTCAGTAGCACCCATTTTTAAAATGTACGGCTGAAACCTTTCTAGCTTTTTGTTCTCTTGCTGGCAAGATTCCAAGTATGCTTCCAAACTATCACCGATCTGGTAAAAAAAGATTACTAAATGTTTTGAATCCTACTTTATGAAAAACCAATTAGTGGTTGTTATAAAATTGATAGCAAATAAGCGAAAACCATTGTTTTAGTTTATCATATAAAATGCATTTAAACTATTATTATTATTATTATTATTATTATTATTATTATTATTATTATTATTACATGCAAACGATAATATACAATGATCATTAACATCGACTTTTATCTCGTCGATGAAATCGATTGGCGGGCATTTTTAACTGATGTCTGATGCTTTCCCATGGTAGGTAGCATGTCCAGCAAACATAGCATCGCATTGTGACTCGTTGCATCTAATAACAAATAAATAGGTTTGTTTTACATACTTTTACAATAATATAAAGTGCTTACACACAAGTACAATCCTGAATAATTAAATGTTGTACCTGCTGTGAAATTTTCAAAGTTCTGCGTTAGGTCAAGGATTTGCCTTGGCCAACACAATAACGAAGCACTTTGAGAGCGAGGTTGCTTTCAAAAAACAAAGCAGTTTGAGAGCGAGGTTGCTTTCAAAAAACGAAGCAGTTTGAGAGCGAGGTTGCTTTCAAAGTATGCTGCTGGATCTTCTCTTGGACTAGCAGCCATACTTTTGAAATCTTGTTGTACCTTAAAATCATATGATCGATTATTTTACAGAAACCAACAGTTAATGAGTTTTATTAATGTTTTGCTTATATGTATGCAGAAATATAGTAAAATGAACATTAATATATATCAACACTAAGCATTCTTTTAGTGTTTTTATTAAGCAACAATAATAAAAGTTGTATGTAGGATTTTGCATAGCTATAATAAAATACTTGAAATAAATGTAATGTAATTCTTTGAAAGAAACGAAAAGAATTTTGGATATAATTAAGTTTATTTATTATTTTATTGGGTGTATATCTCGAAAATTAAGCTATGTATGAGGTAACTTTTGCTTTTCAATGTTTTTGAAAACAGAAACTTACTAAGCCAGACACATCTATAAAACGAGGGTACTTCTGAAGGATCTGTGTCATTGTAGGTCCAGCAGAACCTCCGCCCCCTTTTAACGATAACTGCACGTTTCAGCCATTAACGTATAGATTTTGTCTACGTTAGCCGATAATGGTACCAAATTCTGAAGCATGACCGTTTTTAATTCGGCATCCTCGCCAAACACCTCTATAAATTGGTCACCTGCTTGAACTACACTATCATTGACTGCTGTACATAAAAATAAATGGAATAAAACAGGCTGATAAAATAGATCAACAGCTGCATATTTAGCTATAGATTTACTTAATAGATTAACAGCTGCACATGTATCTATAACTCAAGCCTAATTTGTTCACTAACGCAATCGTACACTTAATTATAAGAAAACAATGACATACATAGTTTGTATCTTTAACGATATTTTCGTTGCTGCTCAGGCAGTTGGCGTTGAATCTGCCTAAACCGGTTTTGTATAAAACCTGTCCCATCTGATGAGTAATAATGTTCCTTGATAAAAAAAAACAACAGTTCACTGCTTAAATTTGTATTGAATGTACAAAAACAACAATTTTGACTTACTTTTCAGATTCTGATGACAAAATTGGTTATCATACTAAATTGTTATTTAGAGCAAATATGGCATATTCAAATATACTCGGTTAAATACATAACAATAAAATGCATGCACATACATATTCTATAAGCTAATTATTAGTATTCTAATAAATACATAATCAGTATTCAAATAAATGCATTCTTACATATCCTTTGCCGAAACTTGATTTTTGGTTAGGAAAAGCTTCTATGATGCTTTTTGCCATCAGCACTTTCTTTTCTGTTGGTGGATAACTAAACAAAAAATAAATTAAATAATGCTTTCTTGCACAACAATGTAAATAATTGTAAAAGGTAACACATCGAAAACAAATCATTCTACCATTTCGCACAAAACTATAATTCTAACTGATCTGCCAACCCATCATCAATTGTATTTAACATAACAATGATTAAAATGCACATTGTTTTAATTTATCTAATACTTTAATAATTAAATATTAGTTTTCTTATAATTTTTATCATTATTGTTATTGTTATTAAAATTATTACTATAAGCTTAACATTAAATAAGCTTGATTATTATTGTTAATACTTAATATTAGCATAATTGTTACCGTATTGTTATTTTCGCTATTATTGTCGAGTTTATCTATTTCTCAATTTGAGTTTAAACAAGCTAACATTATATAAAATGTAAAAATACATACTCTCCAAATAAGTCAATGAGATGACTGCATGCTGTCTCGACCATTGCCAAACGAGCTTCACGTGCCATTACGGCTTTGTTACCCTCTTATACTATCCACTTTTCTTTTGGATGCTTCTTTAATGCCACAATAACTGAAACGTCTATAGATATTTAAAAACAATAATCATTAATACATTCATTTATTATAGTTTACTCAAATGCACTATGTATACACTATTTTTCTTCTGCACATCAAATTGATTTATAATATTTGAAGCAGAATTTTAGTGGCACCTTAAGATTCTTGCATGAAAACATACGTGTTCTGGCACATGTGTATTAATCCGTGATGCCGATTAATTTTTTTTTTTAATCAATTAATCGGCAAGGCGGTCTATTAATTAATCGATTAATAATCGATTAAAAATAAATGCCTATGACGTCTACGTTAATAGGAGTTAGGAGGTTTAAATGGTGTGTACTTTATACTTGCCTATTCCAGCATGCGCTGCAATACTCATATTTTTGATTTTGATAAAATTTATGCATTTTGGGAAAAAAATAATCAAAAACTAAAAAATTATTTGATTAAAGGTTTGGCCGATTAATAGGACAATTAATCGATTAAACGTCACACCCCTACTTCAAGTGTGCATGTATGTGAATGTGAAGGTACACTTCTGCCCATACATACAAGCACACATATACAAATACACTTATAGTTACATATACACATTTTTATAGTAACATATTTGAAATAGATTTTTGCTATAAGATATAATACTGTAATATATACCGTTATTACTTGAAATCACAGTAACAGGCACGTCCCTTGGTTGTTTACGTACTTGCTTGCTCGTGCTTGGCTGTTCCTCTTCCATATCTTCTATATGATGCCCATCTGCAGCTGAAGTTATGCTAGTCATGCTGGTTTCTGGTGTAGAAGTCTGCAATGGTTCGAATGTGTTGTCTAGTGTGCCGGGTATTATAGATAATGTTGTTGCCAAGCTTCTGATAGCTTCATCAGCATTTAAAGCATAGACTATTGCACCGGGATTTAAATATTGCACAATTTCATCATCATCGATATCTGTACCATCATCCATTTTGAACGAAGCGATATCAAAACCAAGTTTTTGGGCAGCTACATAAAGAAATTTTACATAGCCTAATAATAAAAAGTGAAATGAACAAAATTGAAATTACGGAAATTGGATTCATAATTGTCGTTTGATTTTACACAACAGGTTATACAACTCGTACAATATGAACTGATCTTAGTGAATTAACAAAAACAAAAATGAATACAACATATAAAACCGATAACAATGCATAATAAAATTTGAAGATGAAATGCTTATTTAGAGATGCTAGTTACAACTGCATGACGAAGAGCAACGAATGAATACTTCGATCTCGTGCCAGAAACAGTATGCGAAGCTAATGGATAATAGTCTAACAGTTCATCATACTCTAGTACTACACTTTTTCCGCAGTCATCATCTTCAACTGCAAAAGCATGATAATGACTATCATAGTAATAAGTGTGCAGTTCTTGGCAAACAAAATAAATGCCACCATCAGTTAAAATAAACTCATCAATGAGTACAAATTTGAGACACTCATCCATCTGTCTACCAACAACTAAAACATCTCCACTGAAATAATCCGTACCATTAATCATTGTATGTCTACAAACATAAACATACACCAATATCGACATCCCGGACCAGACTTTTGAAGACAAGCAGGATAATGAACTAAATTATGAAATTTAGGTGTCAATCGTTTTGTTGGAAATAACTCCCTGTACATTGTGTGGTGATCAAATATAAGTTAATCTAAATACGAAATCATGCCATGCAATATCTTTGGACACAAAATAAAGTCTATAATCTCCATTAAAAGAGTGACCAACCGCCAATAAGTATTTTCACAGTCTATAAGATCTTCAAGTATTAAACCAATAAGTCTACTTAAACACAGATATTGAGCAGCACGCTGACCCAAAAGATTATCACCTGACTTCAATTATTCTACAGTTATACAAGACGGCTTATCTCTCTTCTCATGTTCGGCATAACGAAATGCTTTCAGTCGAGAATTGAGCTGAATACATGCAAAAATTTTATTGACAATAATAAGCTGGTATAAAACTAATTTTAACACATTAGAAAAAACGCCTTCAAATATATCGTGCATAGCATCCACACAATAGTTGTCAGTAACTTTAAAATAATGCAAATCATTAAAGGGTGATTGTCGCTTTACACCAGTATTTCTTGTGTTGCAGTCTTGCACGTCTTTTTCATGCTGTTCAGCAGTTCTTGGTGCAAAATCTCTGGCTCGGTGGTGATCTTGAATGCTTTCAACAGTTGCGTAACACAATCGACATATACAACCAAAAGTAAAACTCTCTTGGAAACCTAACATTCCATGAGCACCTAAATTGTCAGCCGAAAACAAAACAACAGTGCCCTTAACTGTCTGACATGCTTTACCGAGCACAATTTCAATATACTTTATTTCTAATGTTTTAATATCCTTAATCATTTCTTCAAGAACTGGTTCATATCCACGCGTAATTTTTGTATCTTCTGTATAAAAAAGACATACCAGATAAATGCATGAGGCGGAAGTTTAAATAGGATGGCAAGTTCCGTATCATCATATAGACTGCACCTAGTTTGTGAATTTTTGTTTTCAAGCCTAACGGATTAACGGTTTCAAAATCGTCGAAATATAAATGTAACTGTAAGGCATCCGAATTTTCTATAAACAGTTGACATTCTTTGAAACGAGAAGCATCGCTAAAGTCACTTAATAAATTATTTGTGTTCCTTTGTTGTTTTTTTAGAATCTCATACATATAGCTATAAACAAATCTAATTGGCTGATGAATTGGTATATACTGGTATGTATTAGGAATAGGATATTGACATATTTTGCCAGTTTCCTTATCCAAACGGGATTCATAACGAACAGATATTGGACGTCCAACCATCTTAACAAATTTCATATGATTTTTAAAGTGTTTCAATTGCTGTTCAAAGTTTCCTACTTCTTTTAAAGTTGGCTTAACATTGTCGATTTCTTGAATTACTGATTCAAGTTGAGTTTTGATTGTGGATATATGAACTGCATCTAAATTGTTTGCAACATTCTTTAATTTATCAGAAAACATTTGACACAGCCCCTCTAATAAATCAGTAAATCCCCCCTGTATAATATCTAAGCACCAATACTTAGCATAAACTTTAAACAGTAGCTGTCTTAGCTGTTCCTTAAAGTCGGTAACTTTATCATTTTCAGGCTCTTCTACTTGCTCACTCATTTCAATTTCATCACAGATTTTCTGGTTCATTATTAACTGTTTTTTGTTCCATGGAGCTTGCATCTGTCGAAGTAAGCTTATGCTTTCGACGTGAATGAGTCGATAATGAGCTTAAGCATTCAAAATATCTCATACAGCCATCTTGTCCACAATGAAGTTCTACTTTATCATATTTAGCTAAGCTACGTCTCAAGTGAAAATGTGTTCTTAATTGTAAAAGCATCAATACTTTTTCTACATAAACAGCAGTAATAGCCCATTGTTTCGTGTAGAAGAAACCTAATTGTTTGCACCTTCTATTTGAGATGACCGCTTAAAGTTATGAATAACAATACTCAATGATTATTACCTTTGGTTTTCAATTCAGCCAAATTACTGCATACCACAGCTGCTTTTACCGAACTGTCTAGAGTCCAAACTTTCAACAATTTATTAGACATCTACAAGCAAATAACTATTTACAACTAGAAACACAAGATTATATTAATTAAATTATATTATAAGATGCATCAACAACGAGTTATATTAGAATAAAACAGTAAAATCAATTAAAACCATAATTTCATACAAAATATAATAAGTTATTAAAAATATAGGTTAATAATAATTATTATTATTGTTATACACCACTAAAATTAAAGAAACTTAAAAACCATAGCTTAATAACAAGATGTAATGTGTTCACTAACAACAAAAACATCAGACTGATAAACTTAAAAGCTACTTGCTTGTAATTGAATGAAAAAGTTATAATAATTACGGACAAAATTTGAAATATGTCATTAAAGTACGTCATGCTAGTATTTATGCATTCACAATAAAAAATGCATTATTTATGCAGTAATTATGCATTCACAATAAAAATTATGCAATCACAATAAAAATAAATTTATTTTCCTTATTACTCTAATTAGTGATTACAATTATAATTGCAGTTTATAGAGTGATAATAAAGTTAAACTACTTCTTAACAATATGCAACTATTAAACTATTTTGACAAAAATACAAACTAAAACATGACTTATCTAATGGTTTTGAAGTAATACGATGCACAGTGAAAGTAAACAAAAATATTAGAAAGGCTTGCTACTTATGACAGTATTCATTAGCAACACAAATTCTGATTAATGAATAATGTAATTAAATATAAATTGGTATTTGACCAAGAGCTATTTTACAGTTAATCTACTAACACTAATTATCGCTCATGCAAAAACATTACTAGAAATCAAATATGTTTATATATTTAAATAGCATCATATACAATGTATTACGCAAATATTTAAATAATCATTTACATTTGTCTTAGTTACATTTACACATTTGTATCTATTATATTTGTGCACCAATTAATTCAGCATGTATATTGAGTGAAAGTATAGAAATGTGAATAAAGAACAGCAAATAAAAACAAAAGATTCAACTACTCTTTTATATTATAACACCAAGGTATTATTTTTAAACATATTGTAACAAAAAATGCTTCGTACCGAAAAAAACAAAAATATTTCTTTTCTTTTCTTTGTTTGAACTTCGAAATCGATTTCCCTCCAAAACGAAACCGCTAACACGAACGTGTCTTATTAAAATGGCGGCTACACAATTTTGTGTTAATTCTACACATCATTGTGTGAAAATAAAACTACACAAATTTTTGTGTATCAAAACTACACATTTATTTTTCCAGTGTATTCTATTATTCTCTTCAAACAATTGCCTTTCAACTTATCGACCAAATCAAATTTTGTTGTTTGTGACATTAATGTTCCTAAAAAACAAAAATACCATAAAAATCTCTCATGCATTTCATTAGCATGTAAAAAAAATGCATCAAAATATAAATTATAATAATAAGGAATGAGTATTAGAAAATATCATTTAGTATATTAAAAAAACAATATAAAAATTTAAAAAGTACCTATAATTACCTATAATTACTCTACTCAATGAAGTTTTTTCAAAATGATCTATTTCCATAAGTTCCAGTCTTCTTAAACAATTGTAGAACACATTTTGACATTATTTCATCCAAATAATTATTAGCACAGCTGAAAAAGACCTTAAGAAATCATAGATAATCATTTAGTTTGATCACATTTTACTTTATTTAGGAAAACGTTAAACATAAATGTAAACAAGAATATAACAACAAATGAATCTTTGCTTTATTTTTTAAAATTATTTCACTTTCATCAAACTCTGTTATACCATTTATTTTATCGTAAAAAAGGCGTTGTAGTTCCATACATATTGCAGATTGAAAACCTATCAGAAAAAAAGTTCAAACTAAGTAAAATATTAATAAAAACTGTTGTGGGAAACTGAAAATTAAAATAAATTCAATAAACATCTTTTAAAAAAGGAAAGACAACATTTAATAACATACTTGTTTCACTAATAGACTTAAAGCTTGATGGCAGTTTATCATAATCATAAAATACAGCAATGCCTCGTTGAAATTTATTTAACTTGATGAAGAAATGTTTTATGTATTATTTATAATGTCTTATTTAGCAACTTGTTAAAAATATATTTACTTTTAAATATTTCGAAAAACATTTATCTGGTTTTATTTAGAATAAAATGTTGAATAAAAACAGATGAACTTACATTTAGCAAATTCTTGTAGTTAAATATCAGGACTTGCTTTTCTAATGTGCAATCAATTGCGATCTTTCACTTATTGTTCTAAAGTTTATATTCAGAAAAAAATGCAAAAATTACACACATATATAAGCCAAACTCAAAAAAACAATCTGATTCTTGAAGTTTAGAACTTGAAGACTGTGAATCTCTTTGCATCTAACATCTCTTTATTTCTTTAGTCAAGATTTATATTTGTCAATATTTATAATTCCCTTACTTTATAAGGTGAAAAAAATATTTT